CTTAAACTTCCTGGCCAGCCAACAATGACATCACGTAATCTCATCTCTGGGTCCACAATTGCCTGTAAAACCATGCTGTAGTTCTTCTCACTATCAAACCAGACATCATTGGATGGGTCCATTGTTGGCAGAGTCATTACAATGTGAGTAATGTCAATTGCACCACAGCAATTTGGAAGGCCCCGGATTCTCTCAAACTTAGACTTTATATCTTCCATCTCTGCTTCAGTTGAAGGCCATTGGAGATGATGGAGTCCTCTCTCTTCCATTGCTTCCACAAATCGCCAGGTTATCTGGGAGACAGTGGATTGGTTCATCCCAAAAGACTCACCAATGTTTGATAATGATTCACCGGAACCAAGCCTCCTAAGAGCAACTGCTACTTGATCATTTAGAGACAGAGGCTTGCCACTGTTATCTGTGAAGGTTGATTGCCTAGACATCATATCTTCCTTCACAAGTGAACAGATGTAGTCGAACGTCTTTCTTGAAATTTTTAAAACAGATTCAAATTTCCTTGAATTCTTTATTTTAGACAAAGGACCTAAAAAGTTAAAATAAAAAACAGCATTAATGCATTTAAGAAAACCCAACATTAATCATTTTCATGTATGCAGGAGTGAAGAAAAATGCAACTAACTAGTCTTCTTTCCACGCCTAAATATTATTATCACGACCAGCTATTTTTAGTGAGCACAATTTGCATGGTCTTCCACAGAAAAATCAATAAAAGAAATGAAATTGAAAAAAGTCTTTGCAATATGAGAGCAAATTCAGAAAAGTGCTCAACTATAATTCTACCTTATTTCTTTAGCTAATAATGTCCAAAAAGTCAATCACTCAACTGCACAGGACCCGTGGCATGCCACAGCTCCAAATGTGAGTTACTAAAGCTCATCCAGAGCAGAAAATCATTGCATTTTACAATGTAAAGCCTCCAAATACCAGACAATTCGGCCTATTCTTGTCATTCTCTCTTATGTTTTCTAGTATAGAATTCTCATTCCAGCTGTCTTTTATTATTCATTCATCTCCTTGCTTAATTATATTAACTCAATATTAGAATGCATCTAATAATTATTAGAAACAATTGTCTGCTTTATCAAAAGTTCTAATTATATGACTACATACTCTTAAATGCTCTAGTCAACAAGCTAGCATAAACTGTTCCCAGTAAAGCATCCATCAGTCACACTGGTGATATTTGATGGCATTCATAGAATATCAAGTTAGTCAACTTTGGATTTCATAGCCATGTTCAGCACACTGTCTGCTAAATGCGTTAAGACCAAAGAAAACATGCGCTCTTGACTGACAAAAAATGTCAGAGAGGCTGGTGATGGCATAGCCTCCCATCTAAAATTTTCAAAGAACTACATTCATTTTCTTCATATTTTGGTTCTTGGTTGTGAAATCGAACCTTTGAAACGAAAAGGAAGAAAAATAGAATGCTATAATAGTTAAAGGAATGGAAAGCAGTTAAACAGTGCCTAATTTTTTTCTGAAGATACTGATTTCTTTTAAGTTTTGATATATTAAGAAACAGATTATAATGGTTAGCTGTAGATGCAACCTAAAAGGCAGATCCAATGTTAAAATTCCCTTTGCAACATAAAATTCATTAAAACTTGATAATCATTGCAACTACTCAGCAAAGCCTATTATCCAAGGTTATCTAATGCACCTTCCCCCTACACCGGCCTGTTAAGCTCTATCTAAGCCTGTTCCCAGTAAACAAGATGCAATAAATTAATTCATTCTTCTTTCAGGAACATAGTACATGGAAGCAATTTGCATATGTAAATGACATAAACTTACATACAGGCAATTTAAACAACAACTAATTAAGCACAATAGATGTGCTTGTCTTGATTTATATGTAATTCTAGCCATCTAAATATATAGAACAAAGTAGCCTCTAGAAAACTTTTGTTTCTATCTCACTCCTGAAACTTAACCTTCAGAATTTTGCACCCCAAAATTCAAAAGTAAGCATAACCATCGGATTTGCACAAAGCCAAAAAGGTTTAAAATTTTTATTATGCTAACCACTAAACATGTCTATCTAATTATGTTCTGATGCCCTAGAAATATAATTCCTTGAAAGCTTATTAAGATTAATATTTCTATACAAACCAACAAAAGGTCAACAGTCACAATTCAACTACACAGAGGACCAAGCACGATAGATATACGGGATTTGTTAAGAGACATCCACCAAGCGCATTAAACATAAGTGACTTGACATTGAGATGTGGAACTAGGCATTCACATTATACTTAACCCCATCATTAGATTCAGCCAGAGACAGTCAAAACTCAAAGCCTAAGGAAGCCCTCATCAGCAAAACACCAGGCAAGCCCACCAAGACCAGTATCAATCAATGTACAGAATCAACTTCTGGTTAACAACACAAATAATAGATAGAAGGAAGTAGGCAATCCGAATACTCCAAAGTTGTAAAGAAAGTAGCTCAGCAAATCAGCAATCTAGTTCATTACTCCACAGAACCAGATAATGCAATTGAAAGTATGAATCGAAACTAAATCACGGAAACCCAATTCAACCCATGTCAAAAAATTTCACTAATGTTCAAAGAAGACCCAAGAAAAGCCCTTATAAATTATAATCACCACAATAGATATGTTCACCAAGGACAACACCAATGCGCAACCTGAACATCATAAATCAATCCAGAATAGCAAAGAATATAAAAGAATGCACATAATATCGAATGGTTAGAGAATGTTATACCGGAAATCCTCTTGGAAAACTGCTCCCACCAATCCAAGGGCTGGGGATGAGACCCCAGCGGACCAGAAGCAGCAGCCAGGACATCCTGGTCAACCTTCTTCTCTGCTTTCCTTTTCCTCTTCAACCCTCTAATGGGTCCCATTCAAACCCACCAGCAAAAACTCGAGAAGGAGCTAAGACTCGAAAGACCCAGCAAGAAAGATCAAAGAATCTCAGAGAATTCAGAGCAGAAAGAAAGGAAAGGTGAATACTTTTATGGTTTGGTGTGCTTATTTGGTTCTGGTTTTTGGGATTCAGAGCATGCAATGATGAGAAGTTGAAGAGACCGTGAAGTAAAGGCGTCGAAGTTGAAGAGAACTGGAAAGCAAAACCATGTTCCTTAAGTGACGTGAGGTGATTTTTGTATTGGAGAAAAGAGAATGTAGCAACAGCAGTGAAACAATGGGCATGTATAGTTTTTTCTTTTATTCTCGGTATCTTGCCAATTACATTGGCCTCACTAAATTGAAATTGAGTTACTTTGAACCGTGTTTGAGAAATTTTTTCAATATTTATTTTATTATTTATAAGATTCGAAATCGTATTTAAATATCAAATTCTTTCTACTCATATCATTGAAATTGAGTTACTTTGGACCGTGTTTAAAACTTTTTTTTAATATTTATTTTGTTATTTATAAGACTCAAATCATATCTAAAAATTAAGTTATTTCTACTCATATCAGTAGGTGACTAGTAGCATGAATAGTTTTTGTACGGATATGATGGTTGTTTTCTTTAGTTTATTTATTTTTCTGTTTCATTTTTATCTTTTTTGGGGATAATTTAATTTCTTTTTTGTATGGTAATATAATTTCCTTTTTATTACCGCTAAGTTAGAAATTGTACCATATGAAAATCATATAAAAAAATTATTTTTGATTGTTACAATGGTAAAATAAAATTAATTTTTTTAATTATTAATTTTTTAATTTAAATTTACTATGGTTAAAATTTTGATATTCAAAACTAAAAGTCAAAAATAACTATTAACCCCTTAATTTAAATTATTTTAGTGCCGTAGCATATTCGATTTCTTAAATATTAATGCAATACTCGAAAAGAAATAAATGTCATTGAACATTTTTGGAAGGTTTTATTAATCCTTTTGGTAGGTATCAAGCCTATTCCTTTGTAAGGGTGCATCATATATTAGGTTGAAGTCAGTGATTTAAAATTATGTAAATTATTGATAATAATTTAAATAATTTAATAATAATTACTTTTTATTTAAAGTAAAAAACCGTAAAATTGAGTCATATTGCATGTCAATAAAATAAAATAAAAGATAAAAGAGAATTATTTTTTATTATGTAATCAATAAATATATATATATATAAATTATTAGTCTCCTTCTCCTAATTTCCCACATTAAAAAATAAACAAACAAATAACCTACAAAGAATTTTGTAATATCTCAAGGCGGACAAATTCGTTATTCTGAAATTTACCGTAAACATTAGGGACTAAAGATTTTTTATTTTTTACGGTACAAAAGGGGCAATCACATGGTCATGGTCCTCATGGAAAACAAGAAAATGCATCCAATTCATTATTGGGCTTTGGCCCAACAGATCAGAAATTTAGTGGCCCTTGAAAGCCCAATTAAACATGTGGGTGAAGGCCCAATTATCTGATCCATCAATCCTCTTGTTCCGCTGTTTCGCTATCCTTGATACTTCTTGATCCACACGCAATCAACTGCATCAGAACCGCCGACGCTCTGATCCTCCCGCTTGGACGATCATTTTCAGCCGTCCGATCTCCGATTTCTGCTCCGCCTTGTCCATCTTCTTCGCTACCGACTTTTCTGTGACTGTTATCATCCGTCTGTGTCGACGCGTTCATCGCATTGCCGCTGAATTCGCCGGAGGTTTTCGCCGTGTAGACTCGGTGTTTATCGGCGTCAATATCAAATGTACTCCATGAATAATTCTTCTTTCTGATGAGGGAAGGAAAATTGGAATCCGAACTTGAATTGTTTGTTTCCGAGGAAAATTTGGAAATGGAGATTGATGAAGTTGAAGAAACGGTTTCGTAGGATCGTAAGCTCAGAGAGGTCTTCAGGAGCTGTGATCCTTTGAGAATGTAGTCGTGGCCGTGAGAAGGATAGATGAAGTCGTTCTCCGTTAAATCTTGCCACACAAACCCATTTTTGTAGCTCCTGGAAATAGAATTGAAATGAGATCCTGTTTGGTTGCTGAGAAAATTTGGGGTTAGGAAGGAAAATTCCATTCATGGTACCTTTTGGAAGACCAGGAATACTTGTTGGCCATGCCTTTTCCTCTGAGGCTGTTCAGTCTATTTATAAAATCTGGATAACAGAGCAAATGTGGAAAACAAATTTGATTAAATGAGTTCAAATTCTGGAGAAATTCTGGCATTCATGTATTGCTTTTTACCTCTGAGGTAGAGTCCATCAGGAGAAGAAAGAGGGACATCCATGAAATGAGGATGCTCAAGCTGCCCATTTCTTGAAAGATAGTAAACAACAGGAACTTTCTGCTTCTTTTGTGTGTCTTGATGTTTTTTGGGCATCAATGACCCTGCCCCATCTCCAGGATTGGCTGCCATTGGTATGGATGTGAACAAAGTGAAGCTCAAAGTTCCACTGAAGATGGGATTTCTGGGTAGGGAGAGCTGGAGAAGAAGATGAACAGGCTCTGTTGTGCTAAGGGGGAACAATGAAGAGGAAAAGGTGGGTTTTTTTCATATATTTGTAAGAAGGTTGGGAAGTGGGTACAGACATGTTGTAGCAAACAAGAAGAAGCTGTTAACTTTTACCATTTGTCAATGATGCTTGATCATTGGGCAGCAGGAGTTGAATTGATGCAATTTCGAGGATGAAATAGAAATATAGCACTTGGACCATTCTTAGCAACAGAATTCTACTAGGTTGAAGCTGCCTCTATAATATTTTATTTCCTAAAAATAATGCATTTAAATTCTAAAACTGTTTGTATAAATTACAAAATGAGGTGATTTGCCAAGAAAACGAAGATGGAAATAAGGAATTCAGCACATTTCACCCCCAACTTAAAATTCAAAAAGGTCAAAGGAAGTCCCGTGAAAACATGACACAGTAAACATGGAGAAATTGACAAAGGTTCTATCTTCCATAAAAAGAATCAGGACCAATGGAGGATTACAGAAAGCTCCAAACAGAACATCTGAAGAGTGCTGAGAGTCTCGATACAGCTGGACAAAGCCGAGGTGCAGCGCTTATGCTGTATCAGACTTTGTCACATCTGCTGCTTGCTTTTTGGGGCAAGCAGAAGAAATATGGCCTTTTTCTCCACACTCATAGCAACTCCTCCTCCTCATCTTGCCACTAGTGGAGCTTACCACATCATTATTAACTTCATTGGTTGAATTGGTTGAAGGCTGAGGTCTTGAGTGAGTTTTTACTCCTTTGTTAGGAACTGCACAACTTATCTTGACAGGTCTCCCACAAACAATATCCTGATCCAACTTTAATGCCATTGCCACTGAAACACTATCAGCAAAATCCACATGAGCATATCCTCGGAACTCCCCCGTGTCCTTGTCCATGCCAAATCGTATAGATGATATGCTGCAATCGGAGAAGAGTTTCCTCAGATCTTCCTCTGTTATATCCCATGACAAATTTCCCACATAGATCCTGTTGTAGCCCTCCACCATTCGTGGGGCAAAATTAGATATTTTATTATTGGATCGGGTTCTTTTGTAGGGTTGAATTGTCAGCTGCAGTCCACACCTGGTGAATCATCAAATGTTTTACGGGCACAATGAAAAAATTGAGAAAAACAACTAAGATCACACATGTATGTTACTTACATTTCAGCTCTGTCTAAAGCCAAGGCTCGTTTTGCAGAAGCTTCAGTCTGTGAAAAGCAATGTGATAATCATGTCAATTTTAAGAAAGTAAACGGATCCAGAGCAAAGAGACACAAACTAATAGACCATTTTGAGATTTGCCAAACACAAACCAAAATTGCAGCATACTTTAGCTGCCACAAAAAAGCCTTGATAGCAATTAAGACAAACTTTGCTTCCTAAGTGGTTACCTCAAAACTAATCATTGCAATTCCTCTGAACTTCCCACTGTCAGGAAACTTCATGCAATCAACTTCAGTTACGGTTCCACAGCCTTCAAAGTAATGCCGGATATCCTCTTCTGTGTAATAATATGGAATGCCTCCAACATAAACTTTTGTAGCAACATCATCACTAATTTGACTGCGAAAATATGGTAAGCCATATAAAATAATTAACTACATTTGAGAACCAAATGGCTAAAAGAAAATGAACAAAATCAAAACCTCTAACAGTTATTTTAGCTTCCACCAAACAAATTAATCCTGCATCCAGTTACCTGTCAGCGCCTGTATCCATGTCCATAGCCCCCTCCTCGTTGCTTGCATTCTTCTCCTCCTTATTCTTCCCCTTCTTTTTCTTGTTCTTGTTCTTCTTCTTTGATGTTTTCACCTCCTTCACCGCCCCATCCTCCGTCCCCTCTCTCTTTCTTTTTCGCTTCTTCTTCTTGTTTTTTTCACCATCATCAACCTCTAATTCGGCATATTCTCTCTCTTCATCTTCCTTGATAACTTCTTCAACTTTATTGCCCTTCCTTTCACCCTTCTTCTTCTTCTTTTCACTCTTATCCCCACTATTACTTACTCCCATAGACTCTAAATCACCTTCCTTTTTCTCTTCACTTTCATT